TTTTTTTTAGAACGAAAGAAATAGGGAAAATAAAAATTTCGATTTTAACGAATCACACGTAGAGAGATTGATAAAACGCATAGAGTTAATGGTATTTCATAGCTAATCGATTGCGCAGCAGCTCGCAAACCACCTAAAAAAGAATATTTGTTATTTGATCCATATCCTGACATAAGAAGTCCAACAGGAGCAATACTTGAAATGGCAATCCATAAAAAAATACCAATATTGAGATCGGCTAAAACAAGGTGATAGCTAAAAGGAATTACTGAAAAACTTAGTAAAATAGATATGACTGCTATAGATGGTCCAATACTAAATAATCGGGTATTTCCTCTAGAAGGAAAAAGATTCTCTTTGAAAAGCAGTTTTGTCCCATCCGCTAGAGCTTGAAGAATTCCCAAAGGTCCGGCGTATTCAGGACCAGTACGTTGTTGTATTCCTGCAGATATTTCTCGTTCTAACCATACAATTACGAGTACACCTATTGTGATTCCCAATACAAGAGTCAAAATAGGGACAAATATCCATATGATCTCGTAGACCTCTTTTAAAGATCCAAATTTTGAAAAAGAATTGATATCTTGTACGTCCGTTGTATAAATTATCATTTCAACGATCAACTTCTCCCATAATAATATCTATGCTACCTAGTATCGTCATAATATCAGCCAATTTCATTTTTTTAACTAACTGAGGAAGAATTTGCAAATTGATAAAACCCGGCGGGCGAATTTTCCATCTCCAAGGAAAACCGCTTTGATCCCCTATCAGAAAAATTCCCAATTCTCCCTTTGGAGCTTCAACTCTCACATAAAGTTCTTGTTTCGGCAATTCAAATGTAGGAGACGGTTTTTTACTAATGAATCGATATTCAAAATCATTCCATTTTGCAGCCCTTTCTCTATCAAAACATCGGATTTCTAAATTCTCGTAAGGACCCCCCGGAATTCCTTCCAGAGCCTGTTGAATTATTTTTATGGATTCTGTCATTTCACTGATTCGGACTAAATAACGAGCTAAAGAATCTCCTTCTTTTTGCCACTGGATTTCCCAATCAAATTCGTCATAACACTCATAACGATCAACTTTCCGAAGATCCCATTGTATACCAGATGCTCGTAGCATTGGTCCAGATAAACCCCAATTTATTGCTTCTTCTCCACCAATAATGCCTATTCCCTCAACTCGTTCTAAAAAAATAGGATTTCGTGTAATAAGTTTTTGATATTCACCAACCCCTGTTAAAAAATAATCACAAAAATCCAAGCATTTATCTATCCATCCATAAGGTAGATCCGCCGCGACTCCTCCGATACGAAAAAA